AATGTATTAGTCTTATGAACAACATTAATGTTTAAATAACATCAAATCATCAATATTCATAAATCACAGCTGAACAGCATCAACCTAAAATAAACTGAATGTCGGAAGAATTAGGAAAGATAATATTACAAATTCATGAGTTTACAGTCTCTACTGAGGGCCAGCCAGGGCAGTAGTAGGGGCTGGACTTGTTTCTTTTGAACACAGAGCACTGGTTGTTTGAGGCGAATTGCAATAGCCTCTGCTGTTTGGAGCATGTGGTGCTTCGACGATTTTGGTAGTTTGTTAAGCACCCGGTATATTATAGAGAAGGATTCTTCTACGCTGGCTGGCTTTGTGACCAGTTTGCACCAGATGGTGTAATATCGAACTGTTAATAGTTTTAACTACACCTTTACTTAGCCATAGTGGGATATGTTCTCGAGCGAGCACGAAAAATCAAGTTCGTAGAGCAACGGCCAATATAACTCGCTCCACAAGTGCAGTTAAATTGGTAGATACAATTTGATGTGGCTAGTCTAGGTACTTCATCTTTCAGTCGAGGAATCACCATCGGTCGTGTAGAGAATAATACGTGTAGTTCGCCGCCAGCATTAAAAGTTCTTTGAACTGATTTTCTTAATTTTTTCTTAATTAACTCGCTTGTTATATCGCCCATGAATTGTAGTCGTATATAAAGTGGCTTCTTGTTTACAGATAGTGAGTAGTCCTTTTTGGCTTTCTTTTTCATGTGTTTCTTGATAAATTTGTCAGGATAACCATTTTCGATCAAAGTATCATATACAATGCTGAATTCATCTTCAATTACTTCTTCTGAACATAGAGCTCTGACTTTGAGCCTAAGGGTCTTTAACAAATTTCTTTTGTAATTGATGGGAACGAAGCTGTGTCATTCATATATCGGCAATAAAATGACAGCTTACTGATAAGGTTGTTCAGAGGTCCATTTTTTAGCTTACTTAGAAAGAAATCAGCCAGAATGGGATCCAATGGGGAGCCCATTGCCATCCCGTCCACTTGCCTGTAAAGCGTGCCGTCAAATTTGAAGTTTACATTCATGGTGTACATCTTAATATCAATTCTTTTAGGATTTCATGAATTGAAATGTATATTTATGTATTTACATTTTAACTTGTGATGAATAGTGTTCACTGATTAGCGATTAGCGAAACTCATGTATAACGGTTCCCCTTTTTGTGCATACATATCGATTGGAAACTTTATATAAGAGAATAGTGAATATATTATACGTAATCTATAAATCTAAGTGAGATTTTAATCTTTCACTGACATTGTGTCAAATTATATTTGACAACACAGACGCCGTACTTAAGTATCTTGGTTTAATTTTCTCTTCTGAATTTCATACAATGATTCCCTTTTGTATAAATTTGAACAAAGAAAGAAAGAAGAAACATTGGCGCGCAGAATAATCTGGATCCATTTTATTTCGTTGGTTCTCATCAGCTGCGTACAACCTGAATTTTTGTAATTAAAAATAAATAGTGTACAATTTTTTTAAACAAACCTTTGTCCATTAGCAAGCATAGTGTCAGAGCGTCATAGTAAAATAAGGCATTGAGATTTACAGGGTGTCTAAAGTGTCACGACATGTATATATATATATCTTGGTAAAGAGAAGTTTCTTGAAAAAAAAAATAGTTAACAGTTGTGTTGTTAGGGTGGTAACAAAAGACAATTAGCAATAGTTACGTAATTAGATAAGAGAAGATCAAAATTTTTTTAAATTACGGTGCACATGAGGTCAGATGAGAAGTTGATGATGTAATACAGTGAGCAGAACTCAGAAGATCAAGAAAAATTATCTCTTAAGAGAGTCAAACGAAACATAAAGGGGAGGGGTGGAGTGAAAAGATAAGTTGACAAAATTAACAAAATTAGAAAACAAAGAGTTACTAAGAAGTCAGTTACCAGGGTAATTGAAGTCCAACGACGGATTCTTTTTGGACACATAAGTCAGGCTTCAATCGTTTTATTGCTATAGCTTCAGCAAACTTGAGAAGACTTGAGGTACTTTGTCTGTTAATTATTTTGAATGATTCCAGCACATCTACTCGGTGTCCTGTGTCAATCAGGTGTTTGGCGATTGAAGAGCTTAAATAATTTGGTCCCTTTAACAGGAGGCTCGCTCCTTGGTACATGTTCGCAGAATCTGACGTAGGCCCTCGTCTCTCTGTTCTTCCAATGTAACTGCTCCCGCAGATACATGTGAATTGGTATACACAGTTGTAGGTAACATGTGAGGGGTACTTGTCAATCTTTGACTGCACCAGTGAAGAGGTTGTTCGGGATAGAGAGACTAATAACGCTGCAGGATACGTCCTAGACAGGGCTGCGCTTAATCTTTTATTTATCATTCTCATAATATCGTCGCCCTTGTAGTCGAGTTTGATGAAAATAGGCTTCTTACTAACTGTAGCAGTATCAAGCTTCTTGAGTTCATTCTTGCCATATTTGTTAATGAAACCTTGTGGGTAACCATTTTCTTTCAAGCATTTTTCAAGAAACATTAGTTCACTGTCTAGTTTGTTTGGTGAACATATTCTCTTCGCTCTAGAGAAAAGCGTTTTCACCAGCGTTCGTTTGTATCTCACTGGGCAGAAGCTGTTGAAATTCAAGTAAAGACCACTCCATGTGTCTTTACGGTATACAGATCTCTCTTCTGACCTATCCTGGTCCTCTCATGTTTTAGCGATTTCTAAAAGAATATTTCGTTTGACTTTTTACATTAAGAAGTTAAGGCACTCAGGCATAAATCAACCACTCCTCTTACAGTTTGTCAACTCGTGTATTTTACCTATTCTTCTTTACTGTTCACCCCTGCTTATTCTTTCCTGGATTGCTTAAAAAGGACTATGTCATACTTCGTAGAACTCTGAAGACTGTCAGTCAGTCAGTAGGGCGAGTGGTATCCCATTGGGCCATATCGTTGACATTGTCACTGACGACCAGCACTTGATGTCATGCAACAAATTTGCTAAAGGAATTTTGTCAGACTGTGAGCATCCACCACAGCACCCGCAGCTCCAACCTTGTGTCTCCTCCTCAGGTAAAACAAGAAGTCATTTCAGAAGAATTTATGCACGTACATCTAAGTATAAAAATTCCACTATACCATATTTGGTGGCACGTACTTTATGTGATGAAAATAGTGTTAGGCATGAACTAACTAACTAACTACTTCTTTGCACTACTAAATAAACCATTTCCTTCACCCTTAAAGCATCATTCTTTATTGTTATTGTATTTGTTATATTTATAATCCTCTCAATTTTTTCTTTTTATTGTTTATTTATTTTTTCATAAGTATGGACATAATTTTAAGCTGTGTTATAACTGTTAATTTTGTGTTTCCCCTCACCATGCTGCTAAATCAACAGAACATTAGATTCAATACTCTATAATAACATGCTAAAATTTCCAAACTGAATCGACAATAATGTTTGAAACAAACTCACTGTTATTATTATTATTATTATAGTTAATAATCTCTATTTCAACTTCATCGATTTTGAAAAGGTATTAGACAGCGTCGATCGAGAGCTGATTTGGAAACTACTACGCTACTATGGGGTGCCATCGACAATTATACATCTAATCCAACAGTTAGTTGTACGACAATGCTGCATGCCAAGTAATCCACAACGGGAAACTTACTGAATCCTTCGAAGTGAGGACAGGAGTAAGACAAGCTGGCTGGCTGGCTACCTACTATCGCCAATGATTTTCCTGATTGCAGTAGATTGGGTAATGCGACAGACAGCGGACAGGGCAGCGAGGAAACAGGCATAAAATGGACTCACACAAAAACAACTTGGAGTATCTGGACTTCGCCGATGATATATGTCTGATTTCCCACAAACTGGAAGATATGCAAGCGAAAAGCAACAAGTTAGCAGAAGAAGCATCAAAGATAGGAATTATTCAGGTGAACATAGAGAAAACAGAGGTGATGAAGATTCCTGGCCAACACCACACCAACAGCAACAACCACAACAGACAACAATCAGCCAGCATAAATGGGAGGAACCTGAAAGAAACAACCTCCTTTATCTACCCACCTAGGAAGCATCGTTTCAACTACAGGCGGATGGAACTGACGAGGATATCAAAGCAAGGATCATCGGAAAAGCAAGACAAGCTCTAACTACTCTCAAGTCTGTGTGGAGGTCAACAGACAGCACTCAGCATGAAAAATAAGATCCGGATTTTCAACTCCAATGTGAAGTCAGTCAGTGCCACTCACTGTACGGATCAGAGACTTGGCCAGCGCGTCATAAAGAGCATCTCAAACAAACTACAGACCTTCATTAACAGCTAGTTGTCTTCGCTCAATACCACTCAAGATCAGATGGCTGGCCAGAAAAGATCAGCAACAGAGATCTCTGGCAATGAGCGAACCAACCAGGAACCGATTGTGAAACAAATAGGCAGGAAGAAATGGAGATGGATTGGACTGGCCATACTCTGAGGAAACAAACCATCAAGTGACATCACTAGACAACTCGAGTGGAACCCGAAAGGGAAGCGGCGAGTTGGTCGTCAGTGTGAGGGTGAGGGTGACTTGGAGGAGGTCATGTGAAGAGGAGATGAAAGCGTGTGGTCAGACTTGGAGCCAGGTGAAGACTCTAGCAGAGAACCGAACGCAATGGAGACGTACGGCTGAAGCCCTATGTTCCTCTAGGAATTAAAGGAAACAATAATAATAATATTTAATAATCTAAATTTGTACTTCGAATATTTTTGACTTTATATCGTAAATGTGGACAAATTCCTCTGGTTAATTTTGTTTTAATTTTTAATTTTATTTATATTTTGAGGAGTAAATCAGATGCAAGGTGTTGTGACAAATGCTGAGAATTCCATTCTGTATTATAAGTACTGTCTGTTTTGGAATAAAGTAAATTATTATTATATTAATTCTGTTTTTACTGTGTTTAATCAATCAATCTCTGGTGTCATAATTTTTAATTAATTAGGTGTTATATCACGCTTGCACAAGCAATCGGTATGTCTATGGGTGGTTCACCAGCTGGACCAGCAGGAACTGGGAAAACAGAGACAGTCAAAGATATGGGCAGATGTCTCGGCAAATATGTGATCGTCTCCAACTGTTCAGATCAAATGGATTTTCGTGGTTTAGGCAGAATATTCAAAGGTCTAGCCCAATCGGGTTCATGGGGATGCTTTGATGAATTTAATCGTATTGAATTGCCTGTGTTATCGGTTGCAGCTCAACAGATCGCCATTTTGTTAACATGCAAAAAGGAAAGAAAGTCACAGTTTGTGTTTACGGATGGTGAGACGATCGATATGAATCCAGAGTTTGGAATCTTTTTAACAATGGTATGACTGGTTTAGTTTAATATATTTATATATCTAACTACAAAGTATAATAATTATTATTATTGTATCCTTTAATTCCAAGAGGAACATAGGGCTTCAGCCGTTCTTCGGCATTGCATTCGGTTCTCTGCTAGTCTTCACCTGGCTCCGTGTCTGCCCACACGTTTTCATCTCCTCTTCACATCACCTCCTCCAAATCACCCTCACCCTGGCACTGAGGACCAACTCGCCGCTTACCGTTCGGGTTCCACTCGAGCAATGGCTTGTCTAGTGATGTCACTTGATGGTTTATTTTCTCACAGTATGGTCACAATCCAATCCATCTCCATTTCTTCCTGCCTATTTGTTTCACAATCGGTTCCTGCTGTGTTGGTTCGCTCATTGCCAGAGATCCCACTCTGTTGCTGATCTTTTCTGGGAGGCCGGCCATCTGATCTTGAGTGGTGTTGAGCGTAGACAACTAGCTGTTGATGAAGGTCTATAGTTTGTTTGAGATGCTCTTTATGACTCGCTGGCCAAGTCTCTGATCCGTATAGTGAGTAGCACTGACTGACTTCACATTGGAGTTGAAGTATAAACTTTCTGTAAAATGCGCACATTGTTATTTTTTACTTTGATTGGTGCAGACTGAATTCTATCAGTCAGTCAGTCAGGTTTGCAATGTGGCCACCATTCCACCTAGATGGCTAGCTCACCATCACGGTGCACACATTGATTTGATGATATTAGATGGTTGGAGGCAGTTGGCCTGTCAAGGAACTTAGCCTTAAGTTCCTATTGTAACGAAGATGCTTTGAACCGATAAAGACTATGTACTTGTCCCAACTTTAAATCCAAAACACCAGTATTCTTTGAGAGAATTTATATTGTTTGGCAATTAAAGTGAAGACAACTACAAAGTCTACAAACAAATGTTTAGTACAAATGAAGTTATAATGTACTTTTATTCGTGTTCTTTATACCTTCTTCCAGCTTGCACGCGATCGTACCATTCGCGCCTTCGAGTTGGCCACCAATGGTTGCCAGTTCCAATAAACAAAAGTTCAATGTTCACGTCCATTGACACTCCCCGGCAAAAAAGGGTCCATCCCTTTTTTCCACAGCGGCGATAACCTTGAACTGAACTGCCAATGCGGGAACCTGGGCCAATCGGGACTAGGCTAAAATGGAAAAGCAAGACAAAAAAGCCCAACACACAACAAGCATACCACATCACACCGACACGCTCTCTCCGGCGCACAGGATCTACGCTCTCTGTCGACAGTACCACCACTGATCTGGTTCACAAAGTATTGGTTACTTCATACCATTCTAGCACTATCCTCTCCCCGGCGTATTGTACACTGACTCTAACACTACTCGATTCGTTCACAAGTTTAGAAGCGACTTCAGAAGTACTTACAAAAACATTACAAGATGATTCACACAATGCGACAACTATAAAATTAACCGACAATCAGATGAATCGGAACCCACTCAATTACTTAACACAAACATATGTACAATCAATATATCAAATGTTGTGGATTCTGCCTTGACGAGCTACCCTTGAAGAACTGTAGGACTTACAGCAGTACGCCTACATTCCTTCTCAGGTTGACGATCCAAGTGGAAGACGTCCGGACACAAACAAAATTAACCAACAGATAGATGAGAGATGATACCAATTCAGTATATACAACATGAACATATGTACAAAATAAACAATTCGCCTACTTGAAAATGTAGGACTTACAGCAGTACGCCTACAACCCTTCTCAGGTTGGTGCCCTAAGTTGGAAAATCGTCGCAGAGTTCATTTGCTGACCTCCTTCAATCATCTATATTCTCAACTCTGAATGGCGACACGCCCATGACATTGTTTCGTGGAACGTAGATGACTAACAAACATATGACGTATCTGACCAACCAAGCGAAGGCGCAGAGTAATTTACACCAAAGATAATAACATTCAAATAGTAACTTGAAACCTGAAAGGCTTTTATTCGTGCAAGTTAGTCAATGTTCACGTCCATTGACACGGCCAGAGGAAGCCTTGCCTAGACCTAGGTTTCGTGCTGCTAGTCGGCACTCAGTGGTCAGTCAGCAAGGCAGCGTATCTGCAACCACGTTGAAGGAACAGCTCATGTCCCACCTCAGTCAGAGACATTACCAGCACTGAGCTACTTGGGCTGGCTCGCGATTGAGCTCCTTGCTGTAGGACTGTGCTGTATCGGATACTTTGATTGGACACTAGTCAGTAACTAGGTGTTATGCGTCTAGTGCTTTTTTGGTGCAGACTGAATTCCTGCCGATTGCCTCCAACCATCCTGTAACCAATCAAATCCCTACAAACCAACACTTGAATATCAATGAGATGCTCGCTAGCGACTGGCCCTATTCAGGTAGGTAGTTACCTGGGGTTCTAGTGAGAAGTCGTGACCAGTAGGGTGCAGCAGGTCGGGTGTGAGGACAAATACTCGCTGAAGACATTGGCTAGTGCCAGCCACGTTATGTCGTGAATTGGCAGAAGTTAGAATTCACGGGCCATTGAATCGGCTTCCAGTGGCATAATGGTCTACAAGCTAGCTCGCCTTGCAACCAGAACATGGTCCTGGGTTCGAATCCCGGTGGGTGCATACTGATGAAGAGTCCCAAACTGGGACGAAACCGCTGTCCAGTACTGTCAGGTTTTCCAATGGTTCTCTAACTAACGTCAGCTCATGATGAAAATCCTATAAGATTGTTATTTTGTTAGATACTGCTGTACAGTTTCAGGTGGGCCGAAACTGTGTAATAAACTCACATTAACAAACTACTTTCTCATAGACAAGACCGTAAATACCAACCGCATTAATAATATGAGTATAGCTGGTATCCATTCACGCTAGCCAGTGTAGTACGTTGAAGTTATTATGAATACTGTTCATTCGGTTGGTTCATTTCGGTGTTCGAATCTATCAGCGGCATAAATATAACACCATTCTCTATCTATTATAATAAAGGTTTTTGTATTTCCCAATGAATGAAAAACAAAACGATATTGTTGTTTTTACTGACGTTTCGCTATTTAATGCTAATAGCTTTATCAAAGTATTATTAAACCGGAATTTACAAAATCTCAGCATATATATAACAAAACAGTTAGGGGGTGAGAAAATAGACATAGGTCAAGTTAAAGGGACATATTGAAAGTAAAATTGCGATGAAGATAACTAAACCAAATAACAAAGGTAATAGTATGTCTGTTATGATATCAAAATAAAGTTTACTAACTTGATCATCGTTCGTCTT